CCACATTCTTTGCATTTGTATGGCTTCTCTCCAGTGTGGACTCTCTGGTGTTTAAAAAGTCCTGAATTCTGAGCAAAACATTTCCCACACTTCTGGCATTTGTATGGTTTCTCTCCTGTGTGGACTCTCTGGTGTGTCAGGAGGGTTGAATTGCGATTAAAAGATTTCCCACACTCCTGGCATTCGTAAGGTTTCTCTCCTGTGTGGACACTCTGATGTAAAAGTAGGGCTGAAGTGTATGTGAAACTTTTTCCGCATACCTGGCATTTGTACCGTTTCTGTCCTGTGTGGACTCTCTGGTGTCTCAGGAGCTTTGAATCGCAATTAAAAGATTTTCCACATTCCTGGCATTTATAAGGTTTCTCTGTGTGGACTCTCTGGTGTGTCAGAAGGTGTGAACTGCGTTTAAAAGATTTTCCACATTCTTGGCATTTGTATGGTTTTTCTTCCATGTGGACACTCTGGTGTGCAAGAAGAGTTGAACTGTAAATAAAAGATTTTCCACATTCCTGGCATTTGTATGGTTTTTCTCCAGTGTGGAGTCTCTGGTGAGTCAGAAGGTTTGCATTGTTAGCAAAACATTTCCCACACTCGTGACACTTGAATGGTTTCTCTCCAGTATGGACTCTCTGGTGTCCAAGAAGGTGTGAACTCTGGGCAAAGCATTTTCCACATTCTTTGCATTTGTATGGCTTCTCTCCAGTGTGGACTCTCTGGTGTTTAAAAAGGCCTGAATTCTGAGCAAAACATTTCCCACACTTCTGGCATTTGTACGGTTTCTCTCCTGTGTGGACTCTCTGGTGTGTCAGGAGGGTTGAATTGCGATTAAAAGATTTCCCACACTTCTGGCATTTCTTCGGTTTCTCTCCTCTGTGGACTCTCCGGTGTGCAAGAAGAGTTGTAGTATAAGTAAAACATTTTCTACATTCCTGGCAATTGTACGGTTTCTCTCCTGTGTGGTTTCGCTGGTGCAGCTGAAGGAAGAAATTCCTAGCAAAAGATTTCTCACATTCCTGACATTGGTATTTTTTTCCATCTCTGGTGATTTTCTGGTGGCTCGTGAATTGCGATCCGCTGTCCTCTCCTTTTCCAGATGCTTCATTTCTGAAATATATGTTTGCAGTGTGGATCCTCTTGTGAAGTGTAACTGCCATCCTTTCAGCAAAATATTTCCCACAAATATTCCATTCATAGTTTTTTCCTCTGGCAGAACTTTCCTTACCTGCTGACAGAACAACAAGAATAGAAAAGAGTGAATCCCAAATGTGAAACAAAAAATCCTCTGGAGGGGGGATAAGGTCTCTACATAAACCAGAAAGAGCCAGAAAGGGAAGCATAGTATGCAAAAAAAGGGAAAATACTGTCATTTTCCTCCTTCATATCTTTTGATCTTCGGATATGCAGAGGATATTCTCATGCATTCTTTCACTCAGTTCCTCTATCATTGTCCCTTGCTCAGCTCTCTCCGTTGGTTTGGGTGCTGGATGGGGTCTTGCCTCCTTATCTTTGTTGTGGAGGAGGTACGGCTCTCCAGCGAGTGCGGTATCCAGACACCCAGCAGCTACCCGCTGGCGGAGAAAGGGAGCCGCCCCTGAGGGGGCCAAGGACTGAGCGCGGCCCCACCAGGCAGTGGAGGGGGAGGCGGAGGCAGCCCCGGGGTGGGCAGTTAGGCTTCAGCGGTGGCGGTGAACTGGCTGCGCTGACCAAGACGCGCATGACCAAGACGCGCATGACCAAGACCCTTCCTTTCAAATCAAGGGGGTAATGTCGGCATATATAAAATTTTTAGGGGGTAAAAGGTAAAAAAGTTCTCTGACCCCTGGTGTAATCCATGCATCTTTTAACTTCTAATATTTCAGAGTACACCCTAGAGCCATGAAACAGATGGGCAAAATCCCAGAAGGATATATCAAAATCTGCGCTATGCCTTGTGTATGAAAAACTTGAACTAAAAAGAAAGCATCAGAAGCAACATGTGTGTGAAATATAATAAGCAGAATTATAAACGAAGAAATAATTCTGTATTTTTAAAAAAATGTTCAGGATAAAATCACTCAATATTCTAAGCAATGCAGTTTTCACGGTAAAATTTAAACTTATTTACTTTTCCTTTAAGATGAAGTACATGAAGTCTGGTTCTATACTGTACTTCCGATACTGGGAAAAGAGAAAGACATACTCTCTGTTATATGGAGTCCCAAAAGGAAGGGAGAATCTTTTTTTAGCAAGAGCTGATTGAGGCTAGTAATAAAAGGCAAGGATGGGAACTCAAGTCAGAGCGACTTCAGTAAATGATAAAAGTAACGAAGTCGGAGTTAAGTCACACTGGTGACTCGACTTGTTTTTTCCCCCAATGATTCGGACTCGACTCAGAACCCACCCCTCCCTTTTTTGGGGTAGAAAAAGCTTGTTTTTTAATAAGCACTCAAGAATTGGGGCTTGGTACCAAAGACTCACATTTGGGACTCGGGCCCAAAGATTTGCTAACATCCCTGAGAAAAGCAGGCTCTGGAGGTCATTAAATCACAGGATCTCCAGAAGTCAGAAGTGACGTGAGAGAACAAAACAACACCTATATTTGTGCTGGAGGTGGCTTAGAAACTTTTAAAAAGCAGAAAAGCAGATAAAAACACTTAGCATAACAAAAAATTGATAGAAACCTGCCTTGCCATCATCCCATTCATACCAAGCTATTATAATTAAAACCAAGATAAGAGCAAAAGATGCAGATACACGATTGGAGGGAAAAAAAAAACAAGCCGCATAGTGGGTGAAAGATGTGCCAACTGAAATTTTCCTCCCTCCTTAAAATCAGTCAAGAGTTGGCAGTGGCTTTTGTGACCTACAAGCAACACACAAGCAGGCCCTTTCCTGCATGACATTTCTGAAACTGTTGGTATTCTTAACAGGACCTCTCCTGAAAAATCTTAACAGGCTAGTAAAAAGCCAGGCAGTCGGTCCCTCTCAGGCAGCCAATCCTCAGTCTGTGCAGGGCGTCAAGAGCTGAAATCAAGACCATGAGATCAGCCTGCTTATGCAACAAGAAGCCAGAGCAGGTCTTTCAGACATAGGGAACCTATGATCACAAAATATGGGGGGCCAGTCAGTGGCCACAGGTAGCTTTTCCATTAAGAATAACCAGGATAAGTCAGGAGGCACACTTTGTTACGACCACCTTTCCACCATCCTCTATCATGATTCACAGTGTACAGAATTATGTCATGAAGTGAAAGTGGAAAAACGAGCATCTTGTTTTCTCTAAAACACCACTGACAAAACAACTTTACAGCTGGAAGGGTCTCCATGCTGTAAAAGTTAGTCTTAGCCACTAAAAGGAAAGTGGAGTTAATTTTCTCATGAATTGGGATAGAGATGAAATAAAACTGAATAGTCAAAACTCATCAATGACTTCACCAACAACTGCAATAATTCTCCTGTGTAGGCTTCCCTTGTCTACACTCTGTGATGTAAATTGGAAGTGAAATATTTCCCACAATCCTGGCATTTGTTTGGTTTCATTCCTGTGTGGATTCCCTCATGCCACGTAATATCTGACTCAGAAATAATAACAAAAACACTCTTAGTCTTGCGGTTATATGACCTGTCTCTTGTGTCCCTGAAGGTGTAAATTCTGAGCAAAATGTTTCCTGTATTCCTGGCATTTTTTATGATTTCTCTCTAATGTGGAGACTGTGGTGCACGTGAAGTTGTGTACTCAGAGTAAAACATTTTCCACACTCATGACACTTGTATGGTTTCTCTCCAGTGTGGACTCTCTGGTGAGTCAGAAGGTTTGCATTGTTAGCAAAACATTTCCCACACTCATAGCATTTGTAAGGTTTCTCTCCGGTGTGGACTCTCTGGTGTCTCACAAGATGTGAACTGCGTTTAAAAGATTTTCCACATTCCTGGCATTTGTATGGTTTCTCTCCAGTGTGGACACTCTGGTGTCTGAGAAGATGTGAACTCTGGGCAAAGCATTTCCCACATTCATTGCATTTGTATGGTTTCTCTCCAGTGTGGACTCTCTTGTGTGCCCAAAGAGGTGAATTGCGATTAAAAGATTTTCCACATTCCTGGCATTTGTATGGTTTTTCTCCAGTGTGGACTCTGTGGTGTCCAAGAAGGTGTGAACTCTGGGCAAAGCATTTCCCACATTCTTTGCATTTGTATGGCTTCTCTCCAGTGTGGACTCTCTGGTGTTTAAAAAGGCTAAAATTCTGAGCAAAACATTTCCCACACTTCTGGCATTTGTATGGTTTCTCTCCTGTGTGGACTCTCTGGTGTTTCAGGAGTTGTGACTTGTGATTAAAAGATTTTCCACATTCCTGGCATTTGTATGGCTTCTCTCCTGTGTGGACTCGCTGGTGCACCTGAAGGAAAAAATTCCTGGCAAAACTTCTCCCACATTCCTGACATTGGTATTTTTTTCCTCCTCTTTTGATTTTCTGGTGGCTCCTGAATTGCGGGTCGCTATCCTCGCCTTTTCCAAATGCTTCATTTTTGAAATATATGTTTGCAGTGTGGACCCTCTTGTGAAGTGAAAGTGCCCTCCTTTCAGCAAAATATTTCCCACAAATATTGCATTCATAGGGTTCTCCGCTGGCAGAACTTTTCTGATCTGTAGGAGGAACAAGAAGCATAGAAAAGAGTGAATCCCAAATGTAAAACAAAAAATCCTCTGGAAGGTGAAAAAGGTCTCTACATAAACCAGAAAGGGCCAGAAAGGGAAACAAAGTAAGCAAAAAAGGGAAAATACTGTCATTTTCCTCCTTCACATCTTTTGATCTTCAGATATGCAGAGGAAGGCATTTTTTCTCCAGGAAACCTTCTAGTGGTTTTTCACCTGCTGAGTGAAGCAACTTACAACTTAATAGCCTCATTCCCTTGTTAATGAAACAGCCATTTTGTTTTTCTCTGCATCCTCATCTGAATGTGGGGACACGTATAAATATACCAGTTGCGTATTTCTACTGCAGTGTTTGAGGAAATGGAAAAGCTTACCCTGGAATGAAATCTTTAGTCTTTAAATTGCTACATCCCATTTGGAAGGGTTGATTTCCTTCCAAATGGATAAATCTGATCTCCTTGCAGTCCAGGAGACACTCGGGAGTCTCCTCCAGCACCACAATTCAAAAGCATCAATTCTTCGGTGATCAGCCTTCTTTATGGTCCAGCTCTCACTTCCATACATCGCTGCTGGAAAAAACACAGCTTTGACTATGCGGACCTTTGTCGGCAAGGTGATGTCTCTGCTTTTTAAGATGCTCTCTAGATTTCTCATCGCTTTCCTCCCAAGAAGCAGGTGTCTTTTTATTTCGTGGCTGCTGTCACCATCTGCAGTGATCATGGAGCCCAAGAAAGTAAAATCTTTCACTGACTCCATATCTTCCCCTTCTATTTGCCAATAGGTGATGGGACCAGTGGCCATGATCTTAGTTTTTTTGATGTTGAGCTTCAGACCATTTTTGGCGCTCTCCTCTTTCACCCTCATTAAGAGGTTCTTTAAGTTCTCCTCACTTTCTGCTACCAGAATGGTATCATCTGCATATCTGAAGTCCTTGATATTTCTTCCGGCAATCTTAATTCTGGCTTGGGATTCCTCCAGCTGTGCCTTTCGCATGAATGGTATCATCCTCCAGCTGTGCCTTTTGCATGATGTATGCTGTCTATAAGTTAAATAAGCAGGGAGACAATATACAGCCTTGTCGTACTCCTTTCCCCATTTTGATTCAGTTGTTCTAACTGTTGCTTCCTGTCCCACATATAGGTTTCTCAGTAGACAGATAAGGTGGTCAGGAACTCCCATTTCTTTAAGAACTTGCCATAGTTTGTTATGGTCCACACAGTAAAAGGCTTCTGTGTAGTCAATGAAGTAGTAGATGTTTTTCTGGAACTTTCTGGCTTTGTCCATAATCCAGCACAAGTTAGCAATTTGGTCTCTAGTTTCTCTGCCCCTTTGAAATCCAGCATGTACTTCTGAGAATTCTCGGTCCAGATACTGCTGAAGCCTACCTTGGAGGATTTTGAGCATAACCTTGTTAGCGTGTGAAATGAGTGCAATTGTACAGTAGTTGGAGCATTCTTTGACACTGCCCTTCTTTGAGATTGGGATGTAGATGTAGACTGATCTTTTCCAATCCTCTGGCCACTGCTGAGTTTTCCCAAACTTGCTGGCATATTGAATGTACCACCTTAACAGTGTCATCTTTTACAGTTGTAAATAGTTCAACTGGAATGCCATCACCTCCACTGGCCTTGTTCTTAGCTATGCTTTGTAAGGCCCACTTGACTTCACTCTCCAGGATGTCTGGCTCAAGGTTAGCAATCATACTATCTGGGTTGTCCGGGGCATCAAAATCTTTCTGGTATAATTCCTCTGTGTATTCTTGCCACCTCTTCTTGATGTCTTCTGCTTCTGTGAGGTCCCTCCCATTTTTCTCCTTTATCATGTCTATCTTTGCAGAAAAGGTTCCTTTAAAAGCTCCAATTTTCTTGAACCAGATCTCTGGTTTTCCCCTTTCTATTCTTTTCCTCTATTTATTTGCACTGTTCATTTAAGAAGGCCCTCTTGTCTCTCCTTGCTATGCTTTGGAAGTCGGCATTCCAACTTTCCCTATCTCCTTTGCATTTTGT